TATAAAAATGGTAGTCGAGAAGACTCGTGTTATTAACAAGCGTGGTAGTCAAAACACTAGAAAAATAGTTAAAGCCAAATGGGTTGAGCACCTGGAGAGTAATGACATAATAACAGACAATATGGTTTCGAACAGGAAGATCCTGTGAAACAAATCTACTTAGTTTTTATGATAGATCCACAGAGATACTACAGGAAAGAGGTGGTTGGGTTGACGTGTCTAACTGGACCTATAAAAAGGCTTTTGACAGAGTCCCACACAAGAAGTTGTTTTGGAAACTGGAACCAACTGACAGCAGTTCTTGCACCAGTAATCTTCATCGTCTACATAAATGATCTACCAGAAGGAATGCAAAATTATTTGAACATAATTGCGGATGATGCTAAGATATTGGGGAAGATAGGAGACGCAGACTATTGCAATGCCCTTCAAATTGATCTAGATAAAATAAGTGTTTGAACCTTCAAGTGGCAAATGGTATTCAATCTGAATAAATGCCATGTTATGGAATGTGGAATCTGAAAAAAATAGGCCACAATTTACGAATTATGTGGAAAGGAATTACAGAACTCTAATAAAGAAGGAGACCTATGGGTGGTTTTAGATAGCAAGCTGTCGCCAGAGGAACACATAAAGAACATTGTGAGAGGAACGTATGCGTCGCTTTCCAACTTCAGACTTGCTTTTAATCACATGGATGGTGAAATACTAAAGAAACTGTTCATGACTTTTGTGAAACCAAAATGCGTTAAATATGCCAAAACTAGAAGATAGAAGAAAAAGGTGACGATTCACTACTTACAACAAAGAGTAATTCCTAAAACCAACAACTTCACGAACAATAGGACACAGATTCCATGCACAAGCAACGCACACACACACACATACACTCGGTGAGACACAGGTGGTAACTGAGTACCCATTGTTAGAAATAATTTTGTTAGTGTCAGAGTAGTTAACAAATAGAATGCATTAGGCATTGATGTGGCGGAGGCAGACTCCATACACAGTTTCAAATACAAATATTATAGAGCCCAATAGGTTCAGGAACCTGTACACCATTTAACAATGGAGAGGTGGGGCAAAGAGCTGAAGCTCAACCCCCACAAGCACAACTAGATGAGTACACACATCACGCACGTACACACACACACGCATCAGGCACGCACGCACGCACACCACTCACACAAAAAAATTAAACAAGTTGTGAAAACCATTTACATCCCACCACAAGTTTATGACACGACTCGACAAAGAATTCGAACGACGGGATAGTCGTTCATTATACACATATCACATACATATCATATACGATATCACATTATACCGCGATAGCCACAAGGCTAAGAGGCGGGCCATAAAAGCTGAACCTCAATTTCCCGTAGTCACTACTAGGTGCGCACACAAACACACACATCAGTTTATTGACGGTTGAGAGGAGAGACCAAAGAGCTGAAGCTCAACCCGCGCAAGCACAATTAGGTGAGCACACATGGAAATCTATTTTTGTTTTAATAAATTTTGTATTTTTATTTTTTTTTATAAATGAGAACGGACATTTGCTGCAGCCTGTTTATATATATATATATTATATATATATATATATATATATATATATATATATATATATATATATATATATATATATATATATATATATATATATGTCGTACCTAGTAGCCAGAACTCACTTCTCAGCCTACTATTCAAGGCCCGATTTGCCTAATAAGCCAAGTTTTCCTGAATTAATATATTTACTATAATTTTTTTCTTATGAAATGATAAAGCAACCCTTTTCTCTATGTATGAGGTCAATTTTTTTTTATTGGAGTTAAAATTAACGTAGATATATGACCGAACCTAACCAACCCTACCTAACCTAACCTAACCTATATTTATAGGTAAGGTTAGGTTAGGTAGCCAAAAAAAGCTAGGTTAGGTTAGGTTAGGTAGGTTAGGTAGACGAAAAAACATTAATTCATGAAAACTTGGCTTATTAGGCAAATCGGGCCTTGAATAGTAGGCTGAGAAGTGCGTTCTGGCTATTAGGTACGACATATATATATATATATATATATATATATATATATATATATATAAACCTAATAGCCAGAACCACACTACTTGGCCTAGTAAGCAAGACCAGATTTGCCTAACAAATCTTTCCAAATTGATTTAATCATTTTAATATTATTATATTATTTAAAAGAACATGAATTACTTTTTTTATCTTTATTTAAGTAAATACAATATAAATCATATATACATAATTTTTACAAGGCAATACTACATTACACATACAGTAATATAATTCTCAGTGAACAAGTCTTTCATTATCACAGAACATGATCTTTAAAACCCCTAAATGGTATACTTATTTTTCTTTAAATGATTTACAAAATTGGAGATTATATTTACATTAATTTACAGGGGAAATTATTACATTTATATATATTTTATATAATTCTCAGTAAACAAATTTTCCATATCAAGACTTAATTATGATAGGTTAGGTAAGAAAAAAATTATATGTTAGTTTTAACATACAATTAAAACAAAATCATATACAATGTCATGGAAACCTTTATCACTTCCTAAGAAAATATATATATACATACAGTATACATATAATTCCAGGAAAGTTCGGCTTGTTAAGCCACCTGGCCTATTAGGTACACCTTTTTGTTATTGTATGTATACTGTATATACACGAGTTCTTACATTTTTGTAATATATATTATATAACATATAATATTTATACTGTACTGTATATATTTTTTTCCAAATGGAATACTTTATATATATATAAAGGAGGTACCACCTCTGGTTGTTTGTATATCACTTTTGTATTATATTAAATATAATATATATATAATATATATTATGTATATAATATATACAAAAATAGGGGTGGTAGGAGAAGAAAATTTTAAAGTGTTCAGTGGACTCCACAAAGTCTTCTCTGAATACTCTTTATTTTCTTCTTCGAGGCTATGGGTCCTTACAATTGCACCAGAGGTGGTACCCATATATATTTTATATATATATATATATTATTGTACCTAATAGGCCAAGGTGCCTAAACAAGCAGGGTTTTCCTGAATATATATATTAAAAAAACGCTTTAACTTAGAAATTTGATTAAACCAATCCTAACGTACCTAACCGACCCTATCCTAACCTAACCTAACCAAGTCAGTCATTCATGTTCTTGATATAATAAGATGAACTGAAATAAACCATCTCGAAAAGAAATAATTGAAAATAACTAAAATTAATCTGTTAGGCAAATCTGGCCTTGCATACTAGGCCAAGTAGTGCGGTTCTGGCTATTAGGTACGACATATATGGAATGCCAAATACCTAGTAATGCCAGGTACCTAAATACCTGAGAGATGCCAAACTCCCAGGTATCAGGTACCCGGGAGTCTGGCATGTAGGGGGTAAGGGAAGGGAACTATCAGGAGGAAAGCGCCAAGCCATTACGACTATATAGCACTTGGAAGAGGTCAGGATAAGGATTTAGGATGGGACGGGGTGGGAAGGAATGGTACCCAACCACTTGGACGGTCGGGGATTGAACGCCGACCTGCAAGAAGCGAAACCGTCGCTCTACCGTTCACCCCAAGTGGTTGGGCATGTACGGGGTAGTGGATGTGGGTGACAGGCTTCCTGCCCCTCGACTGCGTAAACAAATAACCAACAAATAGGAAACCACATTTAGTACTATAGCTCCGTGAAGAGCCTCGTCAAGAGACAACCATACTGACATACCTGTTCTGGCCCACTAATCCCTGACGACTTGCCAGAAGGCGCAGTTGGAGAGAAGTATTAACGTCGTCAAGCACAGGGCCAGGAAACAACCTCGGTCAAGGAGCACCAGTTACTTACTCCCTCCGTTTTCAGACTTCTTGTGAGACCAGAAAATATATATTTTGAATATAACTTCTCCGCTTTTAAGGCCATGTTTTCAACTCTTGTCATGCCTTAATATGGGGTGAGTTTATTATGGACGGTTGCCATAGGAGAAAGCCTAAGAAAACTGACCATTAAGATTTGTGCAAACGATGATTAATGGAAAGTTGCGCGGCGCGTGACTTGTTTGTTCTCATGACAGACTTTTTTATTTTTTTCGGGATGGACTTTGCTTATGGGCTCAGTCAGGCTCACATTGTTGGTTTACTCTCTTTATCCTTTCTATAAATGGCTTACAAAATTTTTTAGTAGTTTTTCTTACACCTCAGTTAGTTAGATGCGTATATATATAGTATTTTCACATGTATAATTGTTGTATTTACATTAACCAATTCAACTGCCATGTTGGGTTGGTTATTCTGTAACCAACACAAAATAGTTTTATTTATAGGAATTTAAGTAGTGTTCAAATGTATAATCTTTAATGTAGTTATTTGAAGGAATTTGAGTAGTTTAATGTACAATCTTTAATGTAGTACAGTATATGCCATTTTCTTTTAAAATAAAGGCTCAAATATTTTTTTGCCAGTTAGTACATATTTCATATATCCAGTAAATTGTATTGCTATATATTGTTTCCTAATATAGAGGCGTCGAGTGGTTATAGGTTGATGAACATTCTACTCACTGGAACAGTGTATGTGAGTATGTGTACTTGTATATATAGCATTAATAATTTTGTAATTAGCGTCAAGATTGTTATTTGCTTAGCTAAACGAACTAGAAGGTTCAGTTCCTGAACAGGTTATGTGCCTCTATAATCCTTCACACCACCGCCCACGAGATGGGTATGGGGTGCATAATAAAGAAATTGTGACTGGAGCAGTGTATCCGATAACTTTAATTGCTGGAGCTTCAGGTGATGGATGATCAATGTGCTACACGTATCATTAATACCCTTCATGGAATATTCAGGTGCACTATTCATACCATGTCAAATGTTATACAATTATTTGTCCCCAGTCAGCATTCTGGTGTTAATATATATTTGCAGCAGGTCTCAGGTGTTTGATAAATACACTTAATTTTGGGTGGAGTATATTTTTGACAAGAAGCATTACAATACATATACATATATGTATCCTCTTCAGTTAACACAGGGTAGGGATTTTTTTTGTTTTTTTTTTATAAAATACAAAGTACTTTGTAGCATAAATAAATATATATATATTCTTAAAATATATTGTTTAGCACAAGTAAACTTACTGATGGAGGTGTTGACCTAGGCGATAGTTGGGTGTGGTTACGGCATGAATAAACACCTTAACCACGCCCACAGGCCTGTCACACACACACACACATTAGGCGCGCCAACTCTCACGCACACACGTAAAACATGCACGCAAGTCACACCTCCGTTGGACTTGACAGAGTTGTGAGATCCACTAACAACTCAACCAAGTCCACAGCGCCCGCATGGCCACCACAGTGGATGGCGACGCGGGCGTGCGATGTCCAGGAGAGGCGCCTCCCGCAGCGTCACCCAGAGGCGGCGGTGGTGGAGGCGCCGCAGGGCCGTGGGAAGGGGGGAGGTGTCGGCCGGTTCCTCAACCCGCCCCCACGGCTACATCTGGTATTTCATCAACTTAACTTACACTTATCTACTGCTACTTGTAAATACAGCGAAACTTCGGCGTTGGTGGAGGGGCCCGACAATATATGGACGGACCCCTCTACCCTCCTGCCTACTTCACTAATACACCTTAACATTATACCTTAAACCTACCATAGAGCTAAGTAACAACATAGGCCTACGGGAGTCCGGACAACACTAACTGATGCCGTCACGGACGTAAATAAAATGAAGTTCATAGAACTTACACATGGGAATATATCATAGATATATGGTGTAAAAATAACGCACAAGGCCTTGGTGCGGAGCTCAAGCCCTGACTTAGGCCGAGTCGTCCACAGACCATGTGCGGAATCAAGGGAAATTACCTTCCCCCCCTTAACATTAGGTTGATCACTCACAGACACATACACACACGCACTCTGTGGTCTGACCAAACCCTACAGACAGTAGGGGTGGCAGAACTGGTACACAAGCCGCTGAGAGCGCTCGGTCTTCTTCATGATGCCCTTCTTGTAGTACTGGCGGATGGAGCGCGATAGTTTGTCGTAGTTCATGGCAGGGCGGTTTTTGCGCTTGCCCCACAACCTCGCCACACGCACGCTGTCCTCAATTTTGAAGACACCCTTCTGCCGGTCTAGCCAGCGGATGCAAGAGCCGTAGAGCTGAGGCTGCTGCAGGAGCTCCTTTAGGAACTGCCACAGATGAATATGGGTGCCGCCGCGGCCACCGCTCCCGCTGCTGCCTCCACATACCTCGTCCTCCACCTCTTCTGTAAACAAACAAAAAATGCCGCCATTAATTAAAATTAAATACAAACACTACGCAAATACAGGTATCCCACATGGTCACAATATCGGAGGGTAAATCCTGCTTCCTACAGTACCTAACCTAAAACCATTGGCATACAGTATTTACAAAAACAATAGCAGACGAGCGGAAATTTATATATATTTATATAGAAACTAAGTACACGGAAATGTGCAATACTAGTGTTAGAAGGTCACATTGAGTTGTCACCTGGCCACCCCCACAATAGTGTTTACACTACTAACATTGTTCTTACCGGAAGATGACGTCATCCTTCCACCCCCCCCCCCCCCCCCCCCGCACTCCACAAAACCAAACCACCTTGATGTTGCTACTCCCCCCCCCCTTTTCACACATGTACCCAGCAATCACTAAGCACCACCCCCACCTCCCTCCTTCACATGACCTTTCTGTACGTCATAAATACAGACACCTTTTTTCTCTTTTATAAACTCACCCACCTTCCAATTAACACCCTTCCACCTTTACTCTCCTCCCCCCTCCCCTTCACTCCAACACCCCGGCCGGCCTCTCCTCAAGAGAAACAGCCTTGAGACGGGACAAAGTAAACTCGCCCTTACAATCTTTAAGTATATGAACTCATCCAATATTATCTTACTAGGAATAACTATAACGCAAATATTCCCTTACTTCAAGCTCCCTCACTTCACCCGCTTCATCATAAAGTACCATAAAGAAATAAGCGAGGGGCAAACTGATAAGACATGTTTATTGTAATCAAAAGTAAGATATGCATACACACTTCGTCAGATACGGTAGTTAATATATATTATTACAAATTCTATAAAGGATGTAAGAGGGAAAAGAGTGAGTTACAAATAAAAAGGAAGAGATATCAAGAGAGAAAATGAAGATGTCGATTGATTTCTATCAACCCATAGAGCTCCTCAGTCTTCATGTAAGAGGGGTTAAGATATTATTGTAAGAGTAGTTAGAAGAGGAATATGAGGGATTGAGAGGTGAATGGAAAGGAATTTGGAGGGGGTGGACAGGAAGAAAATGGGGGAGGGGGGGGGGTTGAAGGGAGTTTGAGCATGAGGGAGGGGGGGGGGAGGTAATATGTGGGGGGGGGGGGAAGGATTGAAGGAGGGGTGTGGTACAGAAGGGTTGTGGAGTATAGGGGGGAGAGGGGGGGGGGTGGCCTTGGAGCCCGGGAATCCCAAACGCAATGTTGATCGGTGCCTGTATGCGCGTTGAAGTGTGTGCGGCCTGGTGTAAGGTCATGTGCGTATACGCACTATCCCTTCCCCTCACTACCGAGCTTGTGTAGATATACGCAGCTCCTAATGTGTGAGCACGCGCGTGAACACACACTTGGGGATGCCTATAAGTGTATGCAATCTGATGTAACCTCACGTACAACTCCTCTCCCCCCCCCTCCTACGGTCACTCAAGTGTGCACATCTGGTAGCTCGCGACACACACACACACACACCAACTTGCAGTGGCTATGATTCACGTGCACACGCCGCCACAACTCGTGCACCCCGTCACGTACATCCCCTGCTCGACTCCACCTAAAATGAAAGCTCTGACGTCACACTCCTCGCCCTATCAAAAGCCTCAGTTGACTGCTTTATCGCACTCACATAAAACATTCTATAAACAAACACTATTGCAACAAATAATCATAAGACATAATGGAGTGAGACCACACTATACAAATATGTCGGTGAAAAGTTGTACAATTGAAAATCATCAAGATGTGAGAGGATAAAAAGGCATTGAGATTTCCAGGGGCCCTGATAGAGGCTAGCTGTGGTATCACCTTGAGCCTGCCACCGAGAGCGGCGCGTCGCAACACCGCCCTTACGACTCCTCTACACAAGGCTCAACACCAGCCGCCTTCACATAAGACCCTGTGTTATGATGGATGCCTGGCTAGCCTCAATTGTTGCGTTTCTTATCCAACACAAAGAAAACTGGAGTCGGGCGCTGAGTGAACGGCGATAAGTCGGCTCGGGTGGAGCTTGGCAGCAACAGCCACGAGCCTCGTGGGCATTACTTAAGCTTAAGTGTAGTTTCTTCTCAGTCGTCTATGTACAGTTACAACAGCACCAAAACCTAACCCCCCCAACCCCCACCCACATTTAACACAGATTTATCGCCAGTCAAGTTCAATAAAGTTATCGTTGAAACTCTCTGGCGCAAAAGTTTAATATTAAACAAATCTTTAACATTAAAACTCAGCATGACTCGACACTGACGTGTTGAGTACCCACCCACACCTTTCAACACAAGCCCCTCTGGCAATGGCACCCCAGCTCCCCCCCCCCCTAGCACCTTGCCACGCCCGGGGCATCTGTGTGCCCGCTATTGGCACCACCACCCGCCCTCTCCACCCAACAAGCAACAACGCCCTGCTCTCCTCCACCCACCACCTCGCCATACAGGTCACCTACCCAGCAACTAACACCCCCCCCCATTTAGTCAACAATTACAGACAAATCAATAATAGGTTAAGGGCCCCAAAGGAGTAATCTTACGGCAACAAGAAAAGGGTATGTGGTGTACTCACCATCAGAATCATAGGCGTCGTCCTGGGGAGAGTGGGCGGGGACTCTGGTGGTGTGGGCGGCCTTGGGACTGCTGGCTTGTTGCTGAAGAAGGGTCGTCATCTCGAGACATTGTTCCTCCAGGTAGACGCCACCAGAGGCTTGCTGTTGCGATGGTTGTGGGGATGGGGTTCCCGTCTGGGGTTGGCAGGAGCCGGTGCCACCAGCCTGCAGGTGCTGCGTCACCTGCACTACTGGCGTGGGCACTTGGCCCAAGTTAGTAGTCAGGGACATCGAAGGGCTAGACTGGTTAGGAGAGCACAGCTGCTGGCCAGAGGGGCCCAGTTGCTGGCCAGGGGAGCCCAGTTGCTGGCCAGGGGAGCCCAGCTGCTGGCCAGGGGAGCCCAGCTGCTGGCCAGGGGAGCCCAGCTGCTGGCCAGGGGAGCCCAGCTGCTGGCCAGGGGAGCCCAGCTGCTGGCCAGGGGAGCCCAACTGCTGGCCAGGTGAGCCCAGTTGCTGGTTATGGGAGCCCAGTTGTTGGTTAGGAGAGCCCAGCTGTTGGCCAGGGGAGCCCAGCTGTTGGCCAGGAGAGCCCAGCTGTTGGCCAGGAGAGCCCAGTTGTTGGCCAGGGGAGCCCAGTTGTTGGCTAGGGGAACCCAGTTGTTGGCCAGGGGAGCCCAGTTGTTGGCCAGGGGAACCCAGTTGTTGGCCAGGGGACCCCAGCTGATGGTTATGGGAGCCCAGCTGCTGGTTAGGGGAGCCCAGTTGTTGGCCAGGGGACCCCAGTTGCTGGTTATGGGAGCCCAGCTGCTGGCCAGGGGACCCCAGTTGCTGGTTATGGGAGCCCAGCTGCTGGCCAGGGGAGCCAATTTGGCCCGAGTTTTCCAGCTGGGTTGTTTGCGGTACTTGCTGGTGGCACTGTTGCTGTTGATGGATGATGATAGGATCAGGGTAGAGGCGGTACCTGTACTGGTACTGGGGCAGCTTGGGTGCAGCTCGCAGAGCTCCTCGCCAGATCTCCAGTTGGGCGTAGAGTAGCTCGCCACCTACGGGAGCCAGCTGACGGAACTGTGCCTCCGTCAGTTTAAGAAGCGCAGGGCCGCCTAAGTTCCAGAAGTTGAGCATGAGAGGTGGGAGGTGGAGTTGGGTTGCCTGGAGGTTGAGCCAGGCACGGACATCATCGACACTCCACAGAGCAGGATCTGCAAATACAACAAATACTGTGAAATTCGAACACTCTCACAATCACTGTAAAATAAACAATTACCTCCTGCGATGTTTGTGTTACCTATGTGAAGGTGACCCCAAACTGAACAATATTTACTCAGTTTTACACCGCTCCCCCAACTAGCTCTTATTTCTATAACACTGTACGAGGTTGTTCGTAACTACCTCCCTCGCTCCCCCAGTTTGCACTTCTCCCACACTAAGACCAACTGACAGTAACACCTGTCAACGCAACACACGCTACGGGATCGACGTGACAAAGTTAGAGCAGCACGTACCACATCTCCCGACCACAGCGGACGGCGACACCGATCTCGATTTCGTGGACAAGTCCGCCATGTTGGTTGGGTACAGGGGTGAGGGAAAATGGCGGCTGGGAGTCGATCTTTCTCAAGCGTTATCAAAGAGATATTATAACGGCGAAATCTCCTTCAGGAGTCGTATGGCACGTGCAATTGGGCGTGGGGCGGCCTGAGTGAGGAGGTGTGATCGAACTCGCCGCCCTCGCCAGACTATGCACCTTCAGATAATGCTGATGACAGAGGGTAACACTTGGTGACGTCACGGCCCACGTCACAAGATCCTGGTCAGGCTCGGGAGACGCAGCAGGCATTTCCCGCACACCCTTCATTTCCCCGACCCCTGCCGCTCGAGGCGCAGGTGCTCCCGGCTCCCATAACAACCCCTACAGGTGAGGAAGTCACCCCCCTACGGGCCAGCGGGAGGATGCACCAGCGGGATGATACGCGGGTTCTTGGCTAAGGGTGGGAGGCAAGGTTACTGCCCTCGCTTTGCCTCACTTCTCCTGGCAGGGTAGCCGTACCTACCTAACCTCGCCACGAGCCAACCACTCCACCATCTATCACTAAAGTATTGTTGTGACTTTCGCCACGGAGAGAGAGTATTGGGCACTCATTCTCCGAGTGAACTTACTACCATACCAGTATGTAAACTTATAAGCTCAAACCACCCGCCACACACCTGCAATAAACTCGACCCCACACACCTACAATGTGATCAAATAACCCATTTTTCGTTGTGTGGGCGCAACGAGTTTTGGTGCGGGATTGGTGGGTTGATCTTATTGCAGGATCATCCCACCCACCCACCTGCATTAAGGCCAACCCATCCCACCCACTTGCACAAAGATCAACCCACCCCACCCACACTAAAACTCGTTGCGCTCGCACCATTACTTTTAATCTGTTACAGATGCAAGACTGTTCTTGAGAGGCACTGATAACAGATACAAACATCCAGGTCGGCGGGAACGGGAATATGGGACTGGAACACGAAGTGAAACAAATGGTGAAAATGGTGGAGTGGAGAAAGGGTGGAGATGTGGAAGAGGATGGTGAATGAGTAGGAGTGGGGGTTGTAAGGGCAGGAAAGATTAGAGTAAGGGTAAAAAAAATAAGGAGGTAGGAGAGCGGGAGATTAGAAGGAGCACGAAAGGAGGTTGGAAAAGGAATAAAAGAGGAGGATGGAGAGGGGGTTAGAAGGAGCAGGAGAGATTAGAAGGGACAAACAAAAATGAGGGGGAAATGGGATTGGAGTGGGGGGTTAGAAGGGCCAGGAGAAAGGGGGGTTAGTAGGGGCAGCAAAGGAGGATAGAAAAGGGATAGGAGACGGAGGTCAGACGAGGTAGGAGAGGGTGGAGAAAAGAAAAGTTAGGACAGGTGGGTGCAGAAGGGGCAGGAGAGGAGGGTGGAGAGAGCGTAAGACCGAAGGGGAAAGGGGGGTGGGGTGTGAAGTGGAGATGTAGAAGCACTTCAACTAAATAAACCCAGCCAGACAATCAGGTTGGTCTCCTTCTCGCCGTGATGGTGGTGCCTTACAGGGTAGGCATTGTGGCGGGTGGAGGGGTAGGAGTGCCTCACAAGAGTGCCACTCACCCCTGGAATGTCTGGGTGCCCGGGAGCCCCCGTCGCACAGGCGCCACCCTCCTCCACTGCATCAGGGTGCCTCTCAAGGCTCCAACCCACTACGCTTACCCTTTCTCATGGTCTTAAGGCACTTTTTGTGCCCGTATCCAGAGTTAATTCTTCGTTTCCATTAGTGTGGGGAGGAAGGAGGAGTGTGGGGAGGGGAGGAAGGAGGAGTGTGGGGAGGGGAGGAGGGAGGAGTGTGGGGAGGGGAGGAAGGAGGAGTGTGGGGAGGGGAGGAAGGAGGAGTGTGGGGAGGGGAGGAAGGAGTGTGGGGAGGGGAGGAAGGGTGTGGGGAGGGTAGGAAGGGTGTGGGGAGGGTAGGAAGGGTGTGGGGAGGGGAGGAAGGAGTGTGGGGAGGGTAGGAAGGGTGTGGGGAGGGGAGGAAGGAGTGTGGGGAGGGGAGGAAGGAGTGTGGGGAGGGTAGGAAGGGTGTGGGGAGGGTAGGTAAGTGGGGTAGAATTTATCTCATTGGAGTTTTCGAGTCGTCTAAATGTTGGATTTTAAGATTCTCCCTCACGCCTTCTCAGACGACTAGTTATTTAGTTTAGATTCTTTCATATATCCATATTTATAATGCTTCGGTTCCAAAACGTATACACTTTTGGAATGAGGAAGGTACACAGCTGCCCAGTGTATTGGCCTATAGCATCTCCCACAAGCTGCGGGGCCAGGGGCGGGCCAGGGGCGGGCCAGGGGCGAGCCAGGAGTGAACCTCAGTCAGACCCTGCAGAAACTCTTCCTGATACTATGTAAGAATACTCCTCCCCTGTCCCACCCCTCCATTATACAACATTTCTTTTCTTTTGTTCGGTTATAGGATCCTTAGTTTTCCGTCATACGAGAAAGTTCACGGAAGACGCAAGGAAGAAACTTTTAGTAATTTCATCCATCGCCATCACCACCACCAGCGTCCCTCAGTTTGACAATCATGTCAAACCCTCAAGTTCACTGCTGGTTTCCCTAGTTCCTGAAGCTGTATAAACCATCTCTACTTCCCTTTTGCCCCCTCACAACTCTCTCCCATCCTCGATATTTACTCCTGAAATAATCCATCTGAAATGGAATAAACAATTTTACCTCCTAACATTCCCGTAAAATTGACCCACACTAAACACCAATGAATTTCACTATCCTCACTATGAGGCCTGGTCGACGACCGGGCCGCGGGGACGCTAAGCCCCGGAAGCACCTCAAGGTAACCTCAAGGTAACTCTTCCTTACTCCGCCCACTAATCATCAACGCTAATACCATCCTTCTCCCACTACCTTTTACGCGTCCATCTCAACTATAAATAAATCCTTTTCACTACCAACCAAACCCTATCCCCTCCCCCACCTTGTTATCCTCTCAACTAACACCCACTTTGAATCTCACTCTCGGCTCACTCTCAGTGCCACGGAAACAAGCGTGGTGCCATCCCACTATCTCTCAACCTCGTCAGCCATCGGTATCTGCCTGCTTATCTCTGACGCACGAAGGATGCGAAGGCTCACTGGTCTTCCTCGCCGGGGTAGCAGCAGCGCCGCGCTCAACAAATCTCTTTATGAGGAAGGTTGAAGTAAATATTAATGGCGAGTCAGTTTTCCTATTATTACTACTGAAATATACGGCCGTTGCTAATATCAGTTGTAAGTGGAAAATAAACCGTTTGTCGGTCGGAATAAAACCGTAGACGTAGCTGTAGGTAGCAATGGTGGCAGCTGTTGTTTTTTTGTCTTGTTATTACTAAATCCTCGACTAACTTCTCTTCCCTTCCCCACATACCACCCACCTTCCCTCTCCCACACTCCGCCCACCTTCCCTCTCCCACACTCCGCCCACTTTCCCTCCAGCTAAAGACCTGCTGTACCACTACAACATGAGAGAGGTTGTTGTCCAACCTTAGCTCCCCAACTCTCTGTCCATCCTCATATTCTCTAAGCTCCCAGCCCCTCCTTGTTCTTACCCTCTACAAATTTATCTTCTTCAATTCCTTCCTTCTTCCCTTCACACTGTGGTGTACAAGCAGCAGCAGCAGAGGAGAGCAGAGGGTGGGAGTGGGCTGCCCACCCTGGTATTTGCGTCACAAGGGGGACAAAAAGTGGTCAACCCTCACACAGGACCTCCAAGTGTACCCACCCACCGCTCCCGCCGCCTCCTAGTCCTTCGCCACTCTTCCTACACCTCTTGGTTTTGTTCTTTTTCATCTTTGCATCAACTCAACTTGCCACTCCTGTGCCTTCCACTTTCTCTGTAAGTTCTCCACTTTCCCCTTTATCTCTTCCTTCTTAAATTGATTTCCCTCCTCTAGGTTTTTCTTTCACTACCCAGATGAAAACGAAGGCGAAGAAGACGAAGACTCTCTCCTCTAAACTGCCCAGGGGATATAAACCCCACTTAGTTCATTAATTAATAGGTGGCACCATAAAACATAAAAGTTCATGTCTAAGTTATTTTGCTATCATCCTTTAAACACCCTCCTCCATCTCACTGGGTTGCAGCACGGCTAAGATTTCAAGGGAAATAATTGTAGACGCATAAAATAATGAGAACATTGAAGCCTACACGCCCTCGAGAAGCCAGTGGGGTCTACGTGATCGTAAATGTTGTTTAACTTTGTATAAATACATAACTAATACAAGAGCAGCCACGGGAACCAACAAAACCCAAGTTGGTAAGAAAAAAACAGCAACGATGGAAGGAAGCGGCGTAGGAACACCTGTTGCCATGGTTGGGTACTGTAGGTGTTGCCATGGTTGGGTACTGTAGGTGTTGCCATGGTTGGGTACTGTAGGTGTTGCCATGGTTGGGTACTGTAGGTGTTGCCATGGTTGGGTACTGTAGGTGTTGCCATGGTTGGGTACTGCAGGTGTTGCCATGGTTGGATACTGTAGGTGTTGCCATGGTTGGGTACTGTAGGTGTTGCCATGGTTGGGAATACGAGTTCTGGCCACTCTTCAGGATGAGGGGTAAGGGGTAAGGAAGGAAAGTGATTGCTGCAATAAATGGGTGGAGGAGGGTGCAGCCTTCAACTATAAGGGAGGGTGATTACAGTTATAAGGGAGTAATATAACTGTACCTCAAGAGGGTAATAGCAGCCATAAACTGCATATATATAAGGTAGGTAACTGTAGCTGAAAGGGAGGTAACTGCAGATGTAAGAGATGATGTCTGGCCTCGAGGAGACAATAGCAGTAAAAGATAGGTAGTAATAGTTTTAATGGTCGACCATAGCTGAGAGTTGATTGCATTCGTAAGAGGGAGAATGAATATATAAACACTGTACTTGTTGCCTCTGGACAGTCATGAGCAAAGGGAGGGCAGCTAATGGGGAAGGGGGCAGATGTGGATAGCAGCTTAATGTGGGAAGGATGGCAGCTTAATGTGGGAAGGATGGCAGGATAATGTGGAAGGAATGGCAGCTGAGAGACAGCTGACGAGTTGATGGGAGAGGGATAACTGATTAGGGAAGAACTGCTGATGGGACTAACACACACAGTTGACGATAGGACAGCTAATAGGAAGGGAAGGGAACTATTAGGGGAAACGCGCCAAGTCATTACGACTATATAGCACAGGGAAGGGATCAGGTTAAGGATTAGGGATTGAGAAGGAATGGTGCCCAACCACTTGGGCGGTCGGGGATTGAACGCCGACCTGCATGAAGCGAAACCGTCGCCCTACCGTCCAGCCCAAGTGGTTAACAGGAGCGAAAAAAAAGAATGGTTAAATGTGCAAACAGGAAGGGAAATGATACATTAAAACCTCATCTCTCCTCCCTCCCTTCCCCAACTGTGGTGTACATAAGGCACCTGAAGGCCATACCCCATGTAACCACCACCCGCTCACACCCACAATTACCCTCGCAACTCCATTCCCGTGTACAAAACATCTCGCATTCCCCCCACACCTCCTCCCCCATCTTCTCCCTTGCTAACCTTGCAGCCCTACCCCTCATTCCCGTTAGTTAAGGGGGAAGTGTTGGGGGTGGGGTGTTAAGACCTTGGACACAATTCCACCTTGCAATGTGATGGTTCCTCCTCCTTTGATTTCAGTGAAGAGGAGAGATATTTAGTAGGATTGTGTGTTTACTAGTTGTACTCACACTGTGGTACAGGGATTGAGGTTTGGGTCTTTGGTCCAGCCTCTCAACTGTATTTACTATTTGTATTTGCACAATCGAGCTATTTAGCTCTTGGACCCCCACCTTTCTAACCAATTTATTTGTCCTCTATTATTTCTACTACATATATTTCTCTCTAACACTTACACATCCCAAGGAAGCGGTCCGTAGCAGCTGTGTAACTACCAGGTACTTATTTACTGCTAGGTGAACAGAGGTATAGAGGTGAAAGAAACTTTGCCCATTTGTTTCTACCTCCGCCGGAGATCGAACCCGGGCCCTTAGAACTACGACCCCAGAGTGCTGTCCACTCAGCCGCGAGGCCCCGTGTGTGTATGTGTGTATGTGTGTGTATGTGTGTGTATGTGTGTGTATGTGTGTGTGTGTGTGTGTGTGTGTGTGTGTGTGTGTGTGTGTGTGTGTGTGTGTGTGTGTGTGGGCGACCACCCCCTCTTACACTCGCCACCCCTGCCACTTCTATACTTCCAATACATTAACACTTCCACTATCCACACATTTCCACAACAAGTACTTGAATGCTAAGTACTCTCCCCAGCCCATCATCCTAACATAAAAGTACTGTAGCAACTATGAGGCAGAAAGTACAAAAATGTAGTGATGAACCACCAGAAAAGTAGGCTTTTGTATTATTGAATTTGGTCACTAGGAAAAGTTTGTATATTTTTGTGCTATATTTGAATTTCAACTAGGCCTAGGAATATTTAAGTTTGGTTTGTAGCTCTTATTTTCTTGATTCTAAAAACAGCACAAAAAAGTGGCTTACTTGGGCTTCATGTACGATTGATAACATAGTTGCAAAAAATACTTTCATTGCAAGAGGGTGGCTTGCTAACACACACACACACACACACACACGAGTATACAACGGGAGGTCCGAATAAATTGCATTAGACGACTGCCAGTTGGAGAGTCGGGGCTCAGGAGTTGAATCTCGGTCCTGTAACGTCTTGGTACGCGGACGCGCACATGCCAAACCTGGCAGTAAGGGGCCTTGAGTACCCCTTGTCCAACAGTTACTGCCGCTCCTAGTGCAAAAACAAACTCTTCCAAGGGCGGCTTCTCCATAAACTGCGGGGAGAGGGAGGGAGGGAGGGAGGGAGAGAGGGAGGTGGGGGGAGAGTGAGCCCCATGGATGTGGGGGCGGGAGGGGGGTGGGGGTGGCAGGTGGGTGATAGGGAGGTTGCTAAGGTGGAGAGATGTGGGGAAATGGAATGCCGAATGAGTAAAGTTGAATAAATGCCTGTTACGTCTAAACAGTAACAGAATGTGAAGAATTAAAACCCAAAAATTTAATTTTAAAGGTGTCAAAAGCAGACGAGTGGCAAGCCAGCTTTTGTATTTTTCAGCAAAGAGCCCTCCCTTGCTGCCAGCCCAGTGGCTACCAGTCAGCCCCTTCAGAATTACATAGTAACGATGATAGTGTGTTCTGTGCAACTTTACCTTCTTCACACTCCTGTCAACATTACCTTCCACTCCTGTCAACATTACCTTCTTCCCACTCCTGTCAACATTAACTATTCCCACTCCTAGTCTCCGTGTGCCAGGATGTAAAAATAGTCAATTATGCCCAATACTGTAAATAGCATCAATGTATTATATACCAATTAAAAATAGCCCCTGCTAACACAATCTGCAGGAGAGTGGTGTTGAGGGCCCGGGTTCGATTCCCGGCCTAGACAGATATAAATGGGCAATTTCTTTCACCTTTATGACCCTATTCATCTAGCAGTAAAATAGGTACCTGGGAGTTAGACAGCTGCTACGGGCTGCTTCCTGTGTGTGTGTGTGTTCTGAGATAAATATACGTAATAGACACAAATTGGAAATACACGTGCAAGCAAGAAACCTGTGGATGCTTCAGGTACTCACCCCTGGGAATGTTGAGCGAGTCGGAGACACGCTGGACGTCCCTCCTGGCATGTTCCAGTGCCAGCTGCTCCACCGTCTCCAAAATGTCCCTCTGACATGCGGCGGCGGCGGCAGCGGCGGACGCAACGGCGGCAGAAGTGGCATGGTTATTGGCGGGAACAGCAGGTGACCCACAGGAGGATCCCACACTAACCTCCTCCTCCTCCTCTTGCTTCACGTCCACCAGCATGTCCAGGAAACCAAGGCCATCGTTCATGCTGCTTGGCGACGGACTTTTGTACGGCAGAGCCGCCATCTTCTTCTGGAAGGTGTTATCTTCCAAGCGGCCCCGCAGGAGAGGGTGGTCAGGGTAGGGGGCGTAGAGTGCCGCCTGAGGGTGCACGTTCGCCAGCACCTGGTTCTCCGCCAGCAGCTCAGACAGGCTCAGCGAGGCCTCGAATCCTTCCTTCTTCAGGTTGGGTTGAGGGCGGGCGTAGGGAGAGGCACGGTGGGGGGCAGGAGGGGAGGGTGGAAGGGTGCCACAGTTGGAGGGTGGGGAGGGGGAGAAGGGTTCCTCCTTCACCTTCTCCAGCTCCCCCGGCAGGTGCTGAGGGGAGTGGAAGGAAGGTGGGGAGTAGCAAGGGTCGGACCATTGGGAGGGAGAGGGCACTTGGCACTCGCCGTACCCACCCTCGTGCCCAGGACTCATCGACACGCCTCCTGGCACCGCCTGGTTCATCTGCAACACAAAAGTTGACTGTTTAGTTTAGTTCATTTATTATGCACCCCATACCCATCTTGTGGGCGGTAGTGGAAAGGGTTACAGAGGCCCATTGCACAACAAAAATCATAATGACCCAGGCCTATGCACGGCAAATCCAATATGAACCATATAATTGAATAAAAAAGTATATTAGATTAATATTACAAGTGCTAAATTTACAATTACCTTTATTGGGGGTGAGGCACGGGTTAGGGGATGGTGGGGAGAGGCTAAGGGGGGGAGTGGAAGCATCAGGTGGGTGGAGGTGAAGAGGGAGAGGCAGTGCTGCCAGTGGTGTGTTGAGCCAAAAGTGTGAATTGGTGTGGGCAGAGGAGAGAAGCAGCGGGTGCGAGGTGTTAGCGGAGGGGGTGAGGTACAGGAGATGAGGGTACGGCTGGTAATGATGTGGGGGGTGAGGGGGGGGGGCTATGTGGAGGCAGTGGGGGTGGGAGGATAACCAAGGAGTCATTAAGCAACCTACGCACCCAAACCAACGCACAAATCTACCCCTTAACCCCCCGCCTCACCCACCTCTCTCATACTACTAGCTTTCAGCCTACATTTCCCGCAATAAAGATTCATTCACAACGAGCTTGGTATTATTTATAACAAAATAAGTTTTTTTCCACGCTGACGACAATATTAGCGATGATATATTGACGGCCAGCGATTTAGTATTGGAAGACCCAAATATCCAAAAGTTTAGATACGTAAACACCTTGATTTAAAACGAAATAAAACTAACCAGTTTTTTTTTATTAAAATTATTTATATGACGACACGCAAAATAACAAAGACAATTTTTATTAACCCGATCGCTACCAACAAATAAGTCTGCCTTTCACCTCAGTTCTCCATTCACTACTCACTCCAACCAACCACCCGTCACCACCAACACACATATATTATATATATATATATATATATATATATATATATATATATATATATATATATATATATATATATATATATATATATATATATATATATATATATATATATATATATATATATATATATATATATATATATATATATATATATATATATATATATATATATATATATATTATATATATATATATATATATATATTTTATATATATATAATATATATATATATATTATATTATATATATATTACATTATATATATATTATATATATATTTTTTATTTAATAAAATACAATATAAATCATATATACATAAATTTCACCTCTTTCACTAGCGCCTAAACACAAACCTAACAGCTGCACGTACATCATATAAATTCACATGATGCAACATTTTACCCTCACAATGAGTCACTCAACAGCCATTCTCTGTATTAACAAATGCGTCAGCACAAGGGAAATGGACAGATCAGACATAATGAAATGCCGCCATCTCAAATGCCTTGGGAGCCAAGCCTAGTGCCACCATCTCCAGGGCCTTGGGAGCCAAGCCTAGTGCCACCATTGCCAGGGTCTTGGGAACCAAGCCTAGTGCCACCATCTGCAGGGTCTTGGGAGCCAAGCCTAGTGTCACCATCTCCAGGGCCTTGGGAGCCAAGCCTAGTGCCACCATTGCCAGGGTCTTGGGAACCAAGCCTAGTGCCACCATCTGCAGGGTCTTGGGAGCCAAGCCTAGTGTCACCATCTCCAGGGTCTTGGGAGCCAAGCCTAGTGCCACCATTGCCAGGGTCTTGGGAGCCAAGCCTAGTGCCATCATCTGCAGGGCCTTGGGAGCCAAGCCTAGTGCCACCATCTGCAGGGCCTTGGGAGCCAAGCCTAGTGCCACCATCTCCAGGGCCTTGGGAGCCAAGCCCAGTGCCACCATCTCCAGGGCCTTGGAAGCCAAGTCTGAGAGCTTTCTACCTTTCTAGTCTTCGTGAAGTGAGAGAAAAAAGTCCTCCGAGGCTGGTTCCCAGAGACGGGTCTCCCACACCCACCCCAAGACGTGCCTCCCACACCCACCCCAAGACGTGCCTCCCACACCCACCCCAAGACGTGCCTCCCACACCCACCCCAAGACGTGCCTTCCACACTCACCCCCATGCAACAGCAAGAATGCAACAATCAACACTGAACAACTTAAAGCTAATCCATGTAACTCTGAGGGGCTGGGTTGTGGGGGGCCGCCCCCAACCACCTGTAGCTTTCACCCAAGATTCATTTCTCCACATCTCGCTCTCCCCCGCACGCTTACGTACTCACTCAATGACTTACAACGTCCTTAAGAGCTTCGACTTACCTCAGAGTACAGCAGTGTATGCATCATGATGCAAGGTTGAAGAAACTAATTCTCGGAGCACTCCTTTTGCACGTCTACTCCTCTCGGTGTCTCGGCTCAGAATAACTACATTGGTCTACTATCTAGGCACCTGCAGTCATCAGTTCCCTCTCGACTGCCAGATACCGCTACCTCACTCTAATTCCTTTTATTTTTTGTGCTTCATTTTCTTAAATACTCTCTCTTCAGAAACCTCACTATGGAATTATATCGTCGTATAGTGTGTCAAGTATGTAACTGCTTCGCTGAATATATGTTTGTTAATGTTTTGGCAATTAATAATGAAAGTATGGTGGGTGGGAGGGATGGCAACTCCAGTGCGCCCCAATGACGTCAATGGTCGCCATAGCAACGCGGGAGCGCGGGGCCCAAACACTGGCGAGAGTGCAAGCAAGGCAGAGTTCTTGCACTCCAATTGCCTTACTAGTTATCTGCGTTCTTTTGTTTTAAAATAATTTTACTTGGTAAACGGGCTCTGATGACTTATGGCGGCTTGCTTTATTCATTGTTCTTTGTTCCCATCCCGCCACCGTTCTCTCGCACTCTTACGCTCGAGTGAAAGTCATTCCTTCAGCGTTACCAGTTATTTCCAAGAGTCTCTCTCAATGACCAAATAACCCCCCTAAGAGTGGGTTGACGATACGCGCAATATTTCAACCCCAGCACAGATATCCACGCGATAATCGAGTAATAACATCATCAGCTGTACTCGTTGGACTATTACCATGGGGATACGAACCCCTGGATGCTAGTTTTTGTGGTGGGCAGACAGCCTTGAGATGGCGTGTGCGTGTGTTTGCTTGCATGTGTGGTCGGACATGCCTGTAGTGGCCACTTGCACCACGCTGTCCCTCGCCCCACACACACCACAAATTTACTGTTAAATCTGCACATTTTGCGTTTTTGTTAAGCGCTTACAACCGTCGGAGAACGCCATTAAATGTCGTTTTTGAAATGAATTGTGGGGTTCAGTCCCTGAACCCATTATGTGCCTGTGTAACCCTTTCCACTACCACCCACAAGATGGGTATGGGGCGCATAATAAATAAACTAAACTAAAACTAACTGACGGTTACAAATCCCTACAATTAACAAAGGCTTGGTGTAGTAACATATTAACGTCATTACTGCCCCACACACACACACAAGACAAACAATAAAATACTTTAATAATTAGTTTCCGAATTAGCAATATTATCTAGATTTGAGTAAGTACATTTCTAAAGAAATCTGGTTTCTTAAGAAACCATGCCAGGAAGACAATATATAGCATTATCTATGGCACAAGTATTTCAAGATATTTCGTGATGCCAGAAAGACAAAAGACGAACGCTCTCAAAGAAGTCGATGATGCATCAACTTACACCTGACTCAAAGGAAGAATACGGATGATAAATTTACGATCATCGTAAAAATTAGGAATCTAGAAACAATAATAGGCTTATGGTAAAAAAATATTATCTCATTATTTACACAAATTTTCCCAGTAATCATCGAAATTTGCATTCAGAGGCTATTTCAGGCTCTTCCATTCAAGTTCTTTACCTCTTATCTACAGCCCTTCTGCCCCTTTATCTTTCCCATTTTTTCTTTCTTCTACCACTTATTTTACTCATAGTTCTCCACCATATCGTCCTTCTTTTCCTTAATCATCTTCACACATTCTTCCCCTTATTGTCTTCCGTCATTTTCACCCCTTGACCTTCTTCACCTATATGTTCTTTCTCCCCTTCCCCCTTAACTTCCTTACTTATCCTCCCTTAACTTCTTCTCTCTTCCCCACCTTACCTTCTTTCAATACCATTATTTAATCGACTTCCCTCTTCTCCACTATTATCTTTCCTTCTCCCTTTTATCTTGCTTCCTTCTTTACCCTTCATCTTCGTCCTTCCTTTTCACGTCTTTCTCACTCTGTTTCTCCCTAAATAATCTCAATTCTTCTCTCTCTCTCTCTCCCTCTCTATCAATATTAATGCTCACACCAATACACATAAAACAAGCCCAAGATAAAAATATTTCGGATTTCTCTTTATTTCACTGATGGCCTTTTGCTCTCTTTGTCTCTCTTGGCTTTTGTATGATTCTTGTACCTTTAGTTCGATCGTTTCTATTTCATCTCCAGGGCTCATACCTCTTTATTAGTGCCACCATCTCCAGGGCCTTGGGAGCCAAGCCTAGTGCCATCATCAGCTTGGGAGCCAAGCCTAGTGCCATCATCAGCTTGGGAGACAAGCCGTCTAATTACTTCGTTATGTCTGATGTCATAAGAAATGACAGTGTAGACACGGTCACATTTCGTAAGCTTCAGGAAGGAAAGGGCGTACAGTAATAACTCCGGAATGTATTTGGCTGAGGAACAATACAAGCTGGAGGTCAATACACGGGGAACGAGGCTGTAGTTGGCCGCACCTGCCAAGCGGCAGACACGAAGGTATGGTACTAGTACTTCGTGTGGTTTCGGCAAGTATGGTACCTATAGAAGCACCTATAGGTACTCAGAAGTACCTATAACTGGTACCTAACTGGGTCTTTAAACCTTCCCTTGCGTACCACTAAGGTAGTGATTGAAGGAAAACAAGAAGTATCTAATATACGAAATACTAATACTGGTAGTTTCTAATATATTTATAACATCTAAACTATATTAAACTTAGATAATATTTTAATATAAAAGGCCCAAAAATCCTATCTATGAAGGCGTTTACTCTCAAGGTTGGTCACAAATTATAAGTGCCTACTTTGTTCCTTAAATATATGCATATTATTCTCAATTCCAGTACATTGGTCACACCTATTGTTGTCCTGGTATTCACTGTGAGTGGCAGGTAGCTCTCCATCATGAATTTATTCACTCTATGAGAATGTACAGATGGATCCACCACGAATGGGGTGTGATTTTAAAATATGAATAAAGTATTCACTGCAGTCATTTCAAATAATCTTTTTTTTTATTAACACACTTAGGTACATCTGCATTTGTGCAGCTAGCCTAGACTATATGAAGGGTAATACAATGTGTATAAAAACTAGCTACGCGATGCTAAAAATCCCCATCACACAGGATGGTTAGTC